CGAAAGGACAAACAAAATAACAAAACAACAAACGATAACGTGAAGTCCTTGATTAACAACACAAACCAACACGGAACAAGATCCCACGACTACCAAATGCACAAACGGCTGCCTGAGTATGGTCCCCAATCAGAGACAACAAGCAACAGCTGATTCACGTTGCCTCTGATTGAGAACCACCCCGGCCAACATAGAAACACATGAACTAGAAACTGACACAAAGAACACAAAACAATGACTCTACACACCCTGGCTCAACATAAAAGAGTCCCTAGAGCCAGGGCGTGACAGTACCCCCCCCCCAAAGGCGCGGACTGCGACCGCGCCAACATAAACCCAACAGGGGAGGGGCCGGGTGGGCATTCCTCCTCGGAGGCGGTTCCGGCTCCGGGCTTGACCACCACCCTCTAACAACCCCCCCGTAGCGCCCCTGGTCTGGTCTGGCCCCGCTGGCTGGAGCTGGACTGGACATCAGTGGAGCGGTTTGCTTAGAATCCGGTGTGGAGCAGCTGACCAGGCACCGGTGAAACGGGCACGGGCTGTGCCGGGCTGACGACGCGCACCATTGGCTTGGTGCGGGGAGCAGGGACGGGCCGAACCGGGCTGACGAAGCGCACCACTGGCTTGGTGCGGGGAGCAGGAACAGGCCGGACCGGGCTGACGACGCACACCACAGGCTTGGTGCGGGGAGCAGGAATGGGCCGGACCGAGCTGACGACGCGCACCACTGACTTGGTGCGGGGATCAGGAAGGGGCCGGACCGGGCTGGCGACGCGCACCATTGGCTTGGTGCGGGGAGCAGGAACAGGCCGGACCGGACTGACGACACGCACCATTGGCTTGGTGCAGGGAGCAGGAACAGGCCGGACCGTACTGACGACACGCACCATTGGCTTGGTGCGGGGAGCAGGAACAGGCCGGGCCGGGCTGGCGACGCGCACCATTGGCTTGGTGTGGGGAGCAGGAACAGGCCGGACCGGAATGACGACACGCACCATTGGCTTGGTGCGGGGAGCAGGTACAGGCCGGGCCGGGCTGGCGACGCGCACCATTGGCTTGGTGCGAGGGGCAGGAACAGGCCGAGCCGGGCTGGCGACGCGCACCATTGGCTTGGTGCGAGGGATAGGAACAGGCCGAGCCGGGCTGGCGACGCGCACCATTGGCTTGGTGCGGGGAGCAGGAACAGGCCGGACCGGACTGACGACACGCACCATTGGCTTGGTGCAGGGAGCAGGAACAGGCCGGACTGTACTGACGACACGCACCATTGGCTTGGTGCGGGGAGCAGGAACAGGCCGGGCCGGGCTGGCGACGCACACCATTGGCTTGGTGCGGGGAGCAGGAACAGGCCGGACCGGACTGACGACACGCACCATTGGCTTGGTGCGGGGAGCAGGAACAGGCCGAGCCGGGCTGGCGACGCGCACCATTGGCTTGATGCGGGGAGCAGGAACAGGCCGGACCGGACTGACGACACGCACCATTGGCTTGGTGCGGGGAGCAGGAACAGGCCGAGCTGGGCTGGCGATGCGCACCATTGGCTTGGTGCAAGGGGCAGGAACAGGCCGAGCCGGGCTGGCGACGCGCACCATAGGCTTGGTGCGAGGGACAGGAACAGGCCGGGCCTGGCTGGCGACGCGCACCATTGGCTTGGTGCGAGGGGCAGGAACAGGCCGGGCCGGGTTGGCGACGCGCACCATTGGCTTGGTGCGAGGGGCAGGAACAGGCCGGGCCGGGCTGGCGACGTGCACCGTAGGCTTGGTGCGAGGGGCAGGAACAGGCCGAGCCGGGCTGGCGACGCGCACCATAGGCTTGGTGCGAGGGGCAGGAACAGGCCGTACCGGGCTGGTGACGCGCACCATTGGCTTGGTGCGGGGAGCAGGAACAGGCTGGGCCGGGCTGGCGACGCGCACCATAGGCTTGGTGCGGGGAGCAGGAACAGGCCGAGCCGGGCTGGCGACGCACACAATTGGCTTGGTGCGAGGGGCAGGAACGGGTCGGGCCGTACTGGGAACACGCACCACTAACTTAGTGCGGGGATCAGGAACGGGCCGGACCGGACTGTTGACACACACCACTTGCTTGGTGCGAGGAGCGGGACTGGGTTTCCTAATAACCCTCCGCTCCCTCTGCTGCCTAATCAGTTCCTCTCGCCGTGCCTCTACTCTCTCCCTCTCCCTTATCGCCTCCAGTAGCTCCTCCCTCTGACCCACTAATTCCTGCTCTCTCATGACCAATAGCCCCCTTAACCTGGTGGCCTCCTCTCCTATTCTCCTGATTCGCCCTGTAGCTGCCTCCTGCTGCCCCGTCGTCCATGCCGTGTGCCCCCCCCAAAACATTTATTGGGGTTGCCTCTCGCCTGTCCGACGACGGCACTGTTGGCGCCATACCTCCTCTCTCGCCAGGGCCTTAACTTTAGCCCATGGCCCTTTTCCCACGAGCATGTCCTCCCAGGACCACCATTGGCCCACCTGGGCCATTGCCAACCTCTCCATCTCCTTACCCGGCGTTTGCTCCTGGACACACTGCTTGGTCCTGTTTTGGTGGGATCTTCTGTCACGATCGTCGAAAGGAGTAGACCAATGCGCAGCGTGATATGCGTACATCTCTTTTATTTAGAGTACACCACACGAACAAAATAACAAAACAACAAACGATAACGTGAAGTCCTTGGTTAACAACACAAACCAACACGGAACAAGATCCCACGAATACCAAATGCACAAACGGCTGCCTAAGTATGGTTCCCAATCAGAGACAACAAGCAACAGCTGATTCACGTTGCCTCTGATTGAGAACCACTCCGGCCAACATAGAAACACATGAACTAGAAACTGACACAATGAACACAAAACAATGACTCTACACACCCTGGCTCAACATAAAAGAGTCCGTAGAGCCAGGGCGTGACAAACCATGTCTCTGTGGCTAAGAAATACAGTCATGGGTGGTAAATACAATTCACTCTAAATGCAAGGCGCTCTTTGTTGTTGGGACAGACATGAATGCCATTTTGGACATGCGGGACAATTCAAATAAGACCAACTACAATCCACAGGCAACCAAGGCTCTCCAGCATATACTCTCTGATTACAACCTCATTGATGCCTGGTAAGCACATAATCCTAATACCAAAGAGTACACTTTCTACTCACAGGCATAAATCTATCTCATTAATCAATTTCATACTATTATCTATAACTCTTTTCTTTAATCAAGAAAATAGAAATCCGACATATGATCTTGTCTGATCACCATGCCTACTACTGCCAATTACACATTTCGGAATCTCCTAATTGTAACTAGGCCCTCAAAGAAAGGCATAAGGCCTTATGATACACTGTATATATGAGAATCAACAAAGGGAGAAGATTACATTCATGAAAAAGTAAGCAAATAGTGTAATTAAACAGTAACATCTAGGTCTATTTACAGAATGTAAACATGTAATACGCAGAGGATGCAGAGGGTTATATATCTATGGAAGGCCCAGCCTATGACCACATCCTGTTCAGCTCACAGTATTTTCTGCTAGGGAGAAGGTGGGCATTCTGTGTGTTCAAATGCGATCTTGTCATACAGAGTCTGCGGCTACATGTGACAGACAATCAAGAAGAAACTGTTTCAGCATCAAGAAAGGTATAGACAATTATCAAAGTAGACTACATAGTCTTCCATTCAATAACAGACATTTTAACATCATGACCATTTATATCTTACCTTGTTCAATCTTGGGATAGTCAGATCATTGACAGTCTCATAGATCGACACTGGCTTTACCTGACTATTTGATCTTGTCTGGAATCAAAATACAGCATATTACAATACAGTACATGCAGCTTCCACACATTCATACATAATAACGGCAATGCATACTTACATCCTTAATTCTTGTGTTTTCCATAACATCAGCATATATTGTGTTGTCAGCAGTGGAGGAAAAAGTACCCAATTGTCATATTTGAGTAAAAGTAAAGATACCTTAGTAGAAAATGACTCAAGTGAAAGTGAAAGTCACCCAGTAAAATCCTACTTGAGTAAAAGTCTAAAGGTTTTTGGTTTTAAATATACTTAAGTATCAAAAGTAAATGGAATTGCTAAAATATACTAAAAGTAAAAGTATAAATAATTTCAAATTCCTTATATTAAGCAAACCAGACGGCATGATTTCCTTGTTTTTTGAATTTACGGATAGCCAGGGGCACACTCCAACACTCAGACATCCTTTACAAAGAAGAATGTGTTTAGTGAGTCTGCTAGACTAGAGGCAATAGGGACGACCAGGGATGTTCTCTTGATGAGTGTGTGAATGGACCATTTCCTGTCCTGCTAAGCACGCAAAATGTAACGAGTACTTTTGGGTGTCATGGAAAATGTATGGAGTAAAAGTAAAACATTTTTTGGGGGGGAATGTAGTGAAGTTAAAGTAAAAGTTGTCAAAAATATGAATAGTAAAGTAAAGTACAGATATCCCAAAAAACTACTTAAGTAGTACTTTCAAGTATTTTATTTAAGTTCTTTACACCACTGGTTGTCAGTTAGATCTGCTGTGTTTGATAAGAACAAAATATCAACCAATCAGATACATTTGAAACAGGAAATCTACAAACATACGCAGGAATTAATACATTCCACATGAGGCATCTCACTCTTTTTCCAATTGATATCAAATTTCAACAGATACTCTGATGTAGATGGTATACCACACCAGTCCTGTCACATATTGCACAACACACATGGTTAGACTATATCACATGGTTAGACTTTATCATATTGTATAGTATACAATATGATAAAGACTAAATGGCTCTATATCATATACATCCAATGTGATCACATGCATTACATATTACATTTCACAACATAAGCGTATAAGCACACTGAAAAGTTTTTGGAAGGGATTATTATGATATCTAGGTACGTGGGGTAGTTGTGTCATTAGTACACTTTACTGTTGCAAAGACAGTTTTCCAACTGACTAGGTTGGAAGCATTGCACCGTTATACTGATGTCTCCCTCTGCTGCTGAGAGAGAGAGAAGTGAATCTGCTGGGCGTCCCCGTACATCTCATTGTCTCTCTCCCAGGTGTATGTAAGGTTGGAGTAGCAGGACACGTTGGACACCAGCCGCACCGTACAGGAGTGGTTGGCCAATAGCTTGATGTCTGTCTGGATCACCACCTTCAATATAGGCTCTAACCAACCAGGAGAGAGATAGAGACACATAATCAGTCTTCTAAATGATCCCTACCATAGCCATACCACCAGGTGAAAGACGACAGAGGATCAAACTTGTTAATGTGATGGAAATGTATCAAAGCATGGTGAGTAAGGTCAGTATAAAACCAACAAATCTTCGTTATAGTTTAAAGATCATCAGCCATGGTCATGGATATAAATTAGAATGATATCAAAATAGGATGCAAAAAGGTGATAACAGCCTACCGTTGACCTTCAGAGTGATGGTCCTACCGCCAATCTGACCTTTGTCCCCTTCGCCTGTAACTAGAAAATCCCCTGAGTCTTGCAGTGTCAGTTCTCTGACCGTTAAACTGAAGTTTTTGGTGTTCATCTTTAGTCTCCCCTCGAACTGGGATCCAGGTGAATATACAACTTCTGAGTTGAATTCTGCAATATCCTTTCCCCTATACTTCCACTCCAATGATTTGAAATGTCCCCTCTCTAAGCCTGCCATCAGCTCCACGGAGTCCCCCACTCTCTTGTTGATGAACAGAGGAACACCCACAACTGAAACACACAAATACACATGTTATTCTGACATCAATCAATGGTTGCACACTATATTACAATGGTCTTATTACTGTGTAATTATTCATGTAAGTACGGTGTAGCAATTCTTTTAATTGCTCATTGTTACACTGTAAGACTTGTTACAGTGTGCCTACATTAATAATTACACAATAATACACTGCAATGCAGAGTCTTACCTAATCAATAGATAATAATGGATTGGATTTTGTCATGACTGTCCTGTGAGGATCCAAATAGGTCAGATCAGGTTTGCAATGAATAACTTCAACCAGACCCCCTCTCACCTGCAGAGGGGAGGAGGAGGGAATTGGTGGGGGGGGGGGGGGGTGGGGGGGGGGGGGGGGGGGGGTGGGGGGGGGGGGGGGGGGCTTGACAGCTGACGCCCGGTTTGTAAATCAAGGAGAGACGATTCAGGTCTCCCTCTCCAATGTTTTGCAGAGGAATGTGCCTTTGTTTCCACAGACTTTTCCCGCCGAAACTCTGACACGTTCTAAAGCAAATACTGGATCAATATTTCTAATATAGAACGTGGGGAATGGTCGGAGGCAATCTATAGAAAACGAATGTCAATTTGTTTGTTATTTGTGATGTCATTAAAAATGTTATAAAGGAAATACTTTAACTTGGAAAGTATACCCACTGCATATTCGAAGTGCCCATCCAATACTTGTGCATGTAATATGAAAAATGAAGAAAGTATTTTTGTTAAGATAGGGATGTGATTTAAGAATCTATAAGAGGTACAGTGCCTTGCAAAAGTATTTATCCCCCCTTGGCGTTTTTCCTATTTTGTTGCATTACAACCTGTAATTTCAATTGATTTTTTTTGGGATTTCATGTCATGGACATACACAAAATTGTCCAAATTGGTGAAGTGAAATTTAAACAATTACTTGTCTAAAAAATTTATATAACGGAAAAGGGGTGCGTGCATATGTATTCACCCCCTTTGCTATGGATCCCCTAAATAAGATTTGGTGCAACCAATTTCCTTCAGAAGTCCCATAATTAGTTAAATAAAGTCCACCTGTGTGCAATCTAAGTGTCACATGATCTGTCACATGATCTCAGTATATATTCACCTGTTCTGAAAGCCCACATAGTCTGCAACAACACTAAGCAAGTGGCACCACCAAGCAAGCGGCACCATGAAGTCCATGGAGCTCTCCAAACAGGTCAGGAACAAAGTTGTGGAGAAGTACAGATCAGGGTTGGGTTATAAAAAAATATCAGAGAGGCAACAAAGAGATCAAAGATAACCCTGAAGGAGCTGCAAAGCTCCACGGCGGAGATTGGAGTATTTGTCCATAGGACCACTTTAAGCTGTACACTCAACAGAGCTGGGCTTTACGGAAGAGTGGCCAGAAAAAGCCATTGCGTCAAGAAAATAATGTTGTGTTTAGAACGTGTGTTTCCTAGCTGCTGCTGGTTGTGTGGTTAATGGTCATGGTGTTTCACAGATACATGTAGCTTTGTTACTTTATGAGCAGACCACTCAAAGTTGCAGAGAAAGAGAAAGAAGGGAGAGAGAGAAAGAGAAAGAGATAAAGTGAAAGAGAGACAGAGAGAGAGAGACAGAGAGAGAGAGATGGGGGAGAGGGAGGAGAGAGCGAGAGAGGGGGGTAGAGAGAGCGAGCGAGAGCAAAAATATCATAACAGTGTGTGCGCACAATTGGCCCAGCGTTGTCCAGGGTAGGGGAGGGAATGGCCGGCAGGGATGTAACTCAGTTGATAGAACATGGCGTTTGCAACGCCAGGGTTGTGGGTTTGATTCCCACGGGGGGCCAGTATATAAAAAAAATGTATTCACTAACTGTAAGTCGCTCTGGATAAGAGCGTCTGCTAAATGACTAAAATGTAAATGTAAATGTAATGCATTTTCAACTTCCTGTGACTTGTCTTCCTGTGACTTGACCTGTCTGTAGAATGAGAATGCAATATGGGATAGCTGGTAGTCATGCATAAGTAGGTTACTTCTTGGAATTCAACACAGTAATGGAGATATTCAATATTGTTCCCAAGTAAATACCACACCCTGGCTCATGAGTCTGACCTTTGCTTAATTGGAAGATCCCTTTGCCATCATAGACTTGCATGTCCACATTTCAATATTAAAGAGGAAGTGATACACAGTACCAGTACTAACCAGCTCCTCAGAACTCTTGCAGAGTATATGACATCATAAAACTGAGAAGAACTGTTCTTTCAGGCACGCTCTTCCCCAAAAAGTAATTCTGAGAATCTTAATGGGTCTTCTGCTGATGGGGTACGGCATTTGGACTTTGCTAAATAAGGCATTTATGTTATATTCTTCAAGATTCAATGGGTATATATAATTAAGTCAAAAAATTAATGTAGCAATCCCAGATTGCCCCTTTGACACACATTGTTGAGCCAAAGATGACGCCGATAGACATGGCAGCTCTGCTTCTAGCTCATAAGCAACTTTGCAGTATTTTGTTTTTTTGTGTGGTATTTCTTACATTATTAGCCAGAATGTTTTTTGTATTATTACATACAGCCATAAAAAACTTTTGGATATCAGAGCGGCGGTAACTCACCAGCATTATGACCAGGAATACGTCTTTCCCGAATTGGATCCTTTGTTTGTACTCCCCAGGGCAATTGAACTTATCCCAGAGGCTGCTCCAAGACGCCGCCGGCGGAGAAGAGGTTTTCAGAGTGGACTTCTAGTCCGACTCAGGAAGCATGCACACAATCCACCGCTTCCGAGTATAGTACTCGCTAATGTTCAGTTCAATAAAGTAGACGAGCTCAGGGCGAGGATCTCCTTCCAGAGAGACATCAGGGACTGTAACATACTCTGTTTCACAGAATCATGGCTCTCTCCGGATATACTGTCCCTATCCATACAGCCAGCTGGGTTGTCAGTACATTGCGCAGACAGGAATAAAGAAAGAAAGCCGGTTGTGTATGTTTCATTATTAAGGATCATATCACCTCCACCTTACCTGGCTCTAGACCCACTTCAAATTGCTTGCTGCCCCAATAGATCTACAGACGATGCAATCGCCATCGCACTGCACACTACCCCATCCCATCTGGACAAGACGAATACCAAGACGAATACCTATAGCTCAGCCTTCAACACCATAGTACCCTCCAAGCTCATCATTAAGCTCGGGTCCATGGGTCTGAATCCCGCCTTGTGCAACTGGGTCCTGGACTTCCTGACGGGCCGCCCCCAGGTGGTGAAGGTAGGAAACAACACCTCCACTTCGCTGATCCTCAACACAGTGGCCCAACAAGTGGTGCGTGCTCAGCCCCCTCCTGTACTCCCTGTTCACTCATGACTGCACGGCCACGCACGCTTCCAACTCAATCATCAAGTTTGCGGACGACACAACAGTAGTAGGCCTGATTACCAACAATGACGAGACAGCCTACAGGGAGGAGGTGAGGGCCCTGGCGGACTGGAGCCAGGAAAATAACCTCTCCCTCAACGTCAGCAAAAGTTAATGAGCTTATTGTGGACTTCAGGAAACAGCAGAGGGAGCACTCCCCTATCCACATCGACGGGACCGCAGTGGAGAATGTGGAAAGCTTCAAGAGGTAAGTACAGGTGCATCAAAGCTGGGACCGAGAGACTGAAAAACTGCTTCTATCTCAAGGCCATCAGACAGTTAAATAGCCATCACTAGCCGGCTAACACCCGGTTACTCAATCCTGCACCTTAGAGGCTGCTGCCCTATATACATAGACATGGAATCACTTTAATAATGGAACACTAGTCACTTTAATAATGTTTACATACTGCTTTACTCATCTCATATTTATATACTGTATTCTATTCTACTGTATTTTAGTCAATGCCACTCTGACATTGCTTGTCCTAATATTTATATATTTCTTAATTCCAATGTTTTACTTTTAGATTGGTGTGTATTGTTGTGAATTGTTAGATACTACTGCACTGTTGGAGCTAGGAACAAAAGCATTTCTCTACACCCGCAATAGCATCTGCTACAAATGTGTATGTGACCAATACAATTCGATTTGATTTGAATTTCCTTAGCCCCATCCCTCAGCCGTTTGAATTACGGACTGCAGCTTTAAATGGAAACTGACTTCTCATGTTCTGCAAACAGAGAGAATATGAAGACTTAAAACACCAAAACACCACTCATTAATCTCTTAGCACAGTTTACTATAACTGTAGCGAAGGAACTCTCACACTCACAGACAGACAGACAGACAGACAGACAGACAGACAGACAGACAGACAGACAGACAGACAGACAGACAGACAGACAGACAGACAGACAGACAGACAGACAGACAGACAGACAGACAGACAGACAGACAGACAGACAGACAGACAGACAGACAGACAGACAGACAGACAGACAGACAGACAGACAGACAGATAGATAGATAGATAGATAGATAGATAGATAGATAGATAGATAGATAGATAGATAGATATATAGATAGATCGATAGATCGATCGATAGATAGATAGATAGATAGATAGATAGATAGATAGATAGATAGATAGATAGATAGATAGATAGATAGATAGATAGATAGATAGATAGATAGATAGATAGATAGATAGATAGATAGATAGATAGATAGATAGATAGATAGATAGATAGATAGATAGAGTAGGCCTCCCCTCAAACTTTTGCTCAGTTGTCAGGTGGCAAACATAGCCAGCTAACCTCAGTTGATCAACAATGGAAATGGACATCTTCAGCCACCCCGTCAATTCACACACACACACACACACACACTTACGCACACACACACCCACACACACGCACATAACCTCAGATGGTTCTGTTATGAGGAATACGTTTAGTTACAATTGAAGTCGGAACTATTTTTTCAGTCATTAAAACTATTTTTTCAACCACTCCACAAATTTCTTGTTAACAAACTATAGTTTACATTTACATAAGTATTCAGACCCTTTACTCAGTACTTTGTTGAAGCACCTTTGGCAGCGATTACAGCCTCAAGTCTTCTTGGGTATGACGCTACACGCTTGGCACACCTGTATTTGGGGAGTTTCTCCCATTTTCTCTGCAGATTCTCTCAAGCTCTGTCAGGTTGCATGGGGAGTGTCGCTGCACAGCTATTTTCAGGTCTCTACAAAGATGTTAGATCGGGTTCAAGTCCGGGCTCTGGCTGGGCTACTTAAGGACATTCAGAGACTTGTCCCGAAGCCACCTCTGTATTGTCTTGGTGGTATGCTTAGGGTCGTTGTCCTTTTGGAAGGTGAACCTTCGCCCCCAGTCTAAGGTCCTGAGTGCTCTGGAGCAGGTTTTCATCAAGGATCTCTCTGTACTTTGCTCCGTTCATCTTTCCCTCTATCCTGACTAGTCTCCCTGCCGCTGAAAAAAATCCCCACAACATGATACTGCCACCACCGTGCTTCACCCTAGGGATGGTGCCAGGTTTCCTCCAGACATGATGCTTGGCATTCAGGCGAAAGAGTTCAATCTTGATTTCATCAGACCAGAGAATCTTGTTTCTCATGGTCTGAGAGCCTTTTGGCAAACTCCAAGAGGGCTGTCATGTGCCTTTTACTGAGGATTGGCTTCCGTCCGGCCACTCTACCATAAAGGCCTGATTGGTGGAGTGCTGCAGAGATGGTTGTCCTTCTGGAAGGTTCTCCCATCTCCACAGAGGAACTCTGGAGCTCTGTCAGAGTGACCATTGGGTTTTTGGTCACCTCCCTGACCAAGGCCCTTCTCCTTCTGCCCCCGATGGCTCAGTTTGGCCGGGCGGCCAGCTCTAGGAAGAGTCATGGTGGTTCCAAACTTTTTCTATTTAAGAATGATGGAGGCCACTGTGTTCTTGGGGACCTTCAATGCTGCAGACATTATTTGGTACCCTTCCACAAATCTGTGCCTCGACACAAACCTGTCTCTATGGACAATTCCTTCGACCTCATGGCTTGGTTTTTGTTCTGACATGCACTGTCAACTGTGGGACCTTATATAGAGGGTTTGTGCCTTTCCAAATCATGTCCAATCAATGAGCTCAATTTCGAGTCTCATAATAAAGGGTATGAGTACTTATGTAAATGTAATATTTCAGTTTATTTTTTTATATGAATGTGCAAGAATGTCTAAAAACCTGTTTTCACGTTGTCAATATGGGGTATTGTGTGTACATTGATTAAGAACATGTTTTATTTCATCCATTTTAGAATAAGGCTGTAAATGTGAAAAAAGTAAAGGGGTCTGAATACTTTCAGAATGCACTGTATGTGTGTGTGTGTGTTTTGTGAGTGTGTGTACATCAGAGACAGAGCTGTGTGTAATTTAGTACCACTGACCAGAGATGGGAGTTTCAAAGCTGTAACTGGGGAACTGGGTTTCCAGGTTTAAGTGTAGAGTTTAAATACATGCTGAATACATTAATACATTTTTTAAAACTTTTAACCTCTAAAAATGTGTGGTTTGTTGTAGGGTGTAGAGTGTGGGACACATGTACAACATGTGTGAAGAAACAAACATGGGGAGAGAAAGGTTACAGGGGAAAGCATTTAGACTTCACCTTTAGTGGATTTACTGAGGGAAACATCTGGGGTTTCTTATCGCCCCCTTCAGGACAGACATGTACCTACTCCACATTCTTGTGGATCACAATATATTTTTTAAACATTTTAGTCATTTTAGCAGACGCTCTTGTCCAGAGCGACTTACAGTTAGTGAGTGCATACATTTTTGATACTGGTCCCCCGTGGGAATCGAACCCACAACCCTGCCATTGCAAGCGCCATGCTCTACCAATTGAGCTACAGGAGGCCTATATATATAGAAACTAATATGGTCATTGGTCACATAGCAACAACATAACCCCTCAGTCTACTGGGTCTGCCCTCTTATTCCTTCCTCTCTCTATGTCATCATATTAGTACAGACATGGACCACTTCTGTATGGGTTCATATCAGTAGAAGTCAAATCTGAATGTGGTTTAAGAAGACTGACAGCAATATGGTGTATAGAGATTTTGTTAAAAAGTGTTGCTTTACATAATAAGAAATGTATAGGAATGTTCAAGATGTAAATGCATTGTTTCAACTCTACAGAGAGTAAAAGGAATATGTCCTTAAATTAAATTATATTTCAAAACAATACAATGATGTGGGGAATCATCACTTTTTATTTGACAAATGAGAATTAATACAAAATACAAAATGCAACACAACCTCCATTGTCTTACGTCAGGTGGCGTTACTCCTATGTGACTCTCGTCAGGCAGAATCGTTGTGCTATCTGATGTAAGACAATGCACACCCTCTTTATTCAAGTTCAATAGTGGAACACTCATCTGGCTCCTATAACGACTACTGAAGAAATAACATTTTATAAAAAACATATAGACATAGAAGTGGAAAGTATGGAAAATGTAAATGAAAATAAGCATTAACTGAGTTAAAAACAAACTATACATGTTTCAACATAACTGTTAAAGTTGTTATAGTAGGTCGGCCAACCAAGTATAAACCCACCTTTAGTCCCAGAAAATATTCACATATAGCATATATGCACCTGCATGTAAAAAGCATGACATTATCTAAAATACAACATATTAAAAAAATACAACAAATTCTACTTTTAAACAAAACAGGCACTACACTCTTTTTCAATCAACAAACTGAAATCAAAGAGGGGTAAGTGCAGGGACGGCTTGTTCAATAGGGCGATATGGGCGACGCACTGCCAAACGGGAAAAGGAAGGGATTTTTTTTCTAATCAATTATATCACGGCAACAGCAGTTATCAGTGTTCACGTCTGATCTGCCAGCCACTAAATGTCAAATCAGGCTAAAGTCGTGCTTCAAATGGCCCCGCCCATTTTTTGGGCGATTTCAGTCAGGTTGAAAATCGCCCAGAAGTCTCTCATAGCCTGTCATGTAAAATCTATTTTTTTCACATTTCAAAGCTTTCAATACATTCTCTATGGGTGTCTGTGGGCATGCACTTACGCGCTTTCGTCATACGTGACGTAACGTTGAACGTAACTAAGACAATGGCGGCTAGCAGCGTCTATGTTGCGACCTGCAGTGTGGCGTTATTTTATGTTTTTAATTTGTAGACTTAGTTTACAAACATTCTGCAAACATTCTGCTTTGGACTGATCTTCGGTTTTGGACTGATCTTGTTGATCGTGTACATACCCGCTACGAACGGACTAAATAATGAAAACGCTGCTGGCAGCGGAATCCCAATACAGCTGGGCTGGATGACAGAGTCCCGGACAGAGAGGTGGAGCCGGCCGGCTTCACCCTGGTCAGAGCGGACCGCGATCCTGGTAAGAGAGCGACTCTGTACCCCGACATTGAACTGCTTTCTGTGTCATTAAACCTTACTATTGTTGATAAAACAAGTTTACTGGAGAACGGAGACCAAGTAGAGACTTTTGGACAAGGTGGATAATTGTATAATATAAGGCAGTTTATTCAGAGGTAAAGATATCTGGAATCGCGTGCACGGACCCGTTCGTCAAACTCGTAGGGAGTTTATCAGAAGAGCCCCTAAACATTGTGTGCTGACATTTTATACAATAAAATGAAGTAGGTTGAATCTAGTAGTTCTGATCTTCTGATTGGTCCTGATGAGTTGGGCGAGGTCACCTCCAGGCTAGTGTCACTGTTGCATTGGCTCTGAGTCGGGTTCTCTGTCTTCAGATGTTCAGCCTAAGAGAAGAGGATTTGTGTGTGTGTGTGTGTGTGTGTGTGTGTGTTTGTTATCAGTGTGTGTGTGTGTGTGTGTGTGTGTGTGTTTATCAGTGATGATGTGTGTGTGTGTGTGTGTGTGTGGGGGGGGGGGTGTGTGTGTGTGTGTCCTCAGGGCAAGAACTCGTGAGTTGGAAGAACTGAGAGACCTATGGCGTGGGTGTTATCCTTAGCCACCTGCTGACAAGGCTGACAAGATAGGACTCTTGTTCATTGTATTGAATACAAAGGCCCAACACAAAATGGGTCATGCACAAGATTTTAGTCAGACCAAGCTATAACATTATATATTTACTACGACAGTACATTCAACCAAAAGCTAATATAACAAAGGCATCAGAGATTATTTATAATCTGTCACAGAAACTGGAATCCATCT